ACTGGCCCAGCCGTGAACAATGAGAGCACAACAAATGAGACAGCAGAGCGCTGGTCCTTTGTGACAGGCCAGCAGTTAGTTAGGCTTTAATTCATGCCAGCGCCTTTATTCACATCACAATGTCAGCATCTGCTGTCGCAACAAATCTGTTTCAAATGTCTTTATTGTGAAGCAAAAAAAAAGAAAATACAATCTATGTCTACAATAAAAAATACAATCTAGGCTCCACACAAGAGAGTTAAAACTTCACGTAAGTCAAACCTGACGGAGGTGATAGGTGTGTTAGAAAAAAAAAAAAAAAAAAAGAGTGAACCATGTAGAAAATGTTTAGTGGCTTTAAAATCTACCAGACAATAATTCAAACGTAAACATCAACTCAGTTTCACATTTCAACTAAACCTAACCACATATAAAAGCACTAGGAGAGCACCTTAAATAATGTTATAATTGACATACACACACAAAAAAAAAAAAAAAAAAAAAAAAAAAAAAAAAAAAAAATCACACTTGGGCAGTTACCCAGAGAGCTCCCTAATTTGGGAGAATAAATGTGCCGCCTGCCTTTGGTGTCCAACATCTGCTCCATTTCCAACCCTGCAGACATTTAGCTCTAACAGGTTTAATTAGAGCAGCCCAAACTTCTCTTTTGATCACAGCAGTACCAATCTCTGGCCTCACAGTACCGTTATACACACACCCGGCTCTGGTGTGCGTTTATTGCTGCTGTTTAAACCCTTCTCTGGTTGATATGAAGAGCAGAGAGGATTCAAGATGCCGACTGGATCCACAGTATTCGGCCACTGCAGGCCTGGACAAGGCATCTATTGGTTGTTTCATATCGCTGTAAAGCCGTGATTTGTCTGCTCGTCCACTCAAAGCCAATCTTTAATTGGCTGCAGGCTTCACCTCCCATCATCCTTTGCCCCGGACTGATTTTCCCCCAGGGACAGGGCCATCAGGAGCCTAGTGATTAATGGCACCAGGGGTCAGAGGTTGCTCTGGTGGGAAGTGCCTCGGCCGAGGGCCCCTGAACCACTCCCTACGTCTTTCCTCTGACTTCCACTGTGAACACAAGAGCCACACGGCTGGCTTTCAAATGGCTAGACTAAATGATAAGGGATAGAGATACATGGTCTGACAGAGGGAACGAGGCCAATGAGTGTGACTGAGAAGGACGGCTCTGAAAAACAGAGAGACTTTTCACAAATCACCGGCCGTACTGACGTAATGGAACTTTCACAATAAATGGAAAATCTCATTTCAATGTAGAAAAATCAATACTCTCTCTATTTTTTTAATAAATGTCACATATATGACTATTTCCCAGAAGGGTAAAAACAAATGAAGAACCATTTATTTCCGATAGTTCTCAGCGTTTCCACTATGAAAAACAAACCTCACTGACACATACCATAATAATAATAATAAAACATGCTGGGCAAAAACTCAATTAGGGAATCAAACGTGCAAACAAGTAAAGTCATAATTTTACAGACATTTCTCAGACAGTCACAATTAGTCACTTGTATTGACCAAATGACTGGAGCAAAATTAAGTTAAATATAAACGTCTCCCACCGCGTCCAATCTTTCTATCTCAAAGTAAAGACTGAAAAAAGAGGTCATTTTATCTGACCCCTGACCTACTTTTAGCAGGAAACAGCTGTTCACATTAAAGGCTCTCTATAATAAATCAATTGGGTGTCCCTGACGCCAGTGGTGGTAAATTAAACATCGCTGACTTCACGTGATGGACATTTTTTAAATAATTAAGTCACAGAGCTGCAGCCCTACAGCAGACCACGACACACGGGAAATGATTTTTTTTTAGTCAAAAAAGAAAAGCACAGGTTAGTGTGGAAGTTCACACCAATCTACAGTCCAGGTTTGGTCAAAAAAAAAGGGGGGGGGGGAGGTAGGCAAACGGTACAGGGTCCCATGGTTGGAGTTTGTTGGAGTTAAGTTTGTTTGAAATAAAAAAAAAAATGAAGACAGGAGGAGACCTCAGCTATCACTAAAATAAAAATAAAAATATTTTAGTGATTTTAAAAACAGTAAATAGGAATAAAGAGAGAGAGAGAGAGAGAGAGAGAGACTCTGTGGGGAGGGAAGGATGGTAAAATACTGGGGGGAGGTGTCGCAGCGAGCCAGCTGGAGAGAGACTGGATTAGTGCTGTAAAGAAGGTGTCTGCCAACACAAACATCTCCAGGCCTCATGACTGTGTTCAAGTCCCTCTCTCAGAACACCAACAGGTCGGTCACCCGTCCATACTCACCTCCACACACTCACTACTGCCACGCACACTCACTGGGACGTCACACCTTGAGGATGTGGATGTAGATTAGACACTCTTAGTTATCAACCCTTTGGTTCAGAGAGTCTGCTTTCCAGACTCCAACAGTTTATAAGAGTAAACAGCAATACTGCAGCAGACTCAACACGGTTTTGTTTTGTTTTGTTTTTTTTGGTACAACCCGGATCAAAGCACCTTAGTGATTCACTGCGTCTTCTGGTCTTCAGTTTAAGACACGCAGAGTCGTCTTCGATTCCACAGCCCAAACTCTTCACTCGCTGGGACAAGAGAAACACTGACAGCAGAGACAAGTGTCTGGGCTCCACATGCTGAAAGTTTACTTTACGTGGGGCAGCCCCTGGCTGTTTAGTTTATATATTTGTAAGTCGAGGCAGCGTATTGCCAGGACCCTGCTGTACGCCGGGGCGTGTTTGTTTTATTTCTGATGCATGGCCAGGGACATAGATGGTCAAAGAAAAAAGAAAAGTCTTGAGCGTATGGAATTTGCTATCTTTAGTGTAGCAGCGTCAAGACTGGTCTAATCGACCAATTCATATCGAGTGTTGTAACCCTGTAACATTAGGCTATACAAACATTGCTATTCAGAGCATGAAGCTCCAGCCGCAGCTGATGGAGAACGAGAGATTGGAAGGCAGGAACAACCGTCCAATAAAGTCCACAATATGTTGGTCGATACGCTGTACGGTGTCAGCCGCAATAGGTTCCATTCACGTCATGTCAATAAAGTGCAATTAATGCGAATTGACAGAGTGAGGAAGACAGAAAGACAAATAAGAGGCGGGAGAGAGAGAGACTGTGAAAGAAACAGAGAAATAACGACCTGGATGAAGGCGACTGCACATGTGACGGAAGACAGAAACTCCTCTCCCTGGACTCATCTTAAAAGTAAATCTGTACAACAGTGTACAACAGCGCCCCCTGGCCCCAAGTTTAATACTGTGGAATTATTGGATACACAATCACAATATTAAATCACCTTGATTCACATGTTTGACAGCTCAGTTCAATACTTGTTCCTGACAACCGCCGTTTATTTTTAAATGATATTGTGGAGAAGTGACAAGCTTTGAGGATCTGATGACCTGCTTTTTAAAGCGTTTAAAATTT